TTGTCCTGTGAATCAATGAGGTCAGCACGGTAAAGCATACCATATCAACACAAAAAAACAGATGTCCACAAGATGTACATCACATGAGTAATCTGCACACATCTTCAGAAAGATAAAATAAATAAATAAATAAATAAAATTGTCTGCATTCTAGATTAGTGTGTTCATTGACATTATCAAAAAGTTCTGAACACCGGGGCTCGGTCACTTCGTACTTGAAGGCCGATGGTCATTGCACAGTGAGAATTTTGTATAAACAATGTATTCTGCATGCATTGTATCTGTTGCTATGGGACTCAACGACTATCGACTTTTACCACATTACACACATGGGTGTGATTGTTAAAACGGGATATTTACGTAATGTCACATTTTATAGAATAACACTTTTCAAATAATAATTCGTACGAAATATACAATATATTTGAATAGAATGTGAAAAAGAAAATAACACATATGGTAATGAAAAAGTTCTCATGTAATTATATTTTTATATATTTATCGTAATCAGATTACAGTTATGACGGACAACTTTCATTCAGGCTAACAAATGAAGGAAACAATGCAAAAAAATAAAACTGACTGCTTTTTATGGTAAGGAACATGCATTACTGAGAAATTATAAGATAAAGGCATGCACCCAATGCATTTTGTGATGATATTGGTTGGAATGGGATCACTTTCAAACGTTCGTAAATCATGCGAGTTTGCTTCCCATGATATCTTCATCTCATATCAAGTTACATACACTTTATATCTTATAAATCTCTGTTATGTGATTACATTAAAAACCTGGAACATGAATATTTAATTTGCAAAATAGAAAAACTGAAACAACTATCATGTCTGACAAAAACAAAAAGGGATACGTTTCTAGCACCATAGCAACATACATGAATAATAAATAAAACTTTCTAAATCCTACCAAAATATTGAAAAGATTCATATACAGTCTCACCACAATCGTGATTACACGTTTACATAGCAAACAATCTTGAAAGGGCAGCGGTCGTCACGCCGCGTCCTGTTTGATATGGGACTCGTAGCAATGTATAAAACGCATGTAACATACATTGTTTTTGCAAAATTTGAACGCGACAACCACCAGCCTTTAAAATTAAATTTTAATGTGGTCCTTGATTGGAATGGATCATCTGAGAATTAAAATACCTGAACTAAGGGGGTGGGGGTGGGCATGGAAGTGGATTATTTATGGAATTAAAAAGTAGTAGCCCTAAAGCAAGGAATAAAATACGACTGAAATACGAAATGACATCTACACGAATGTGTTTAGAATTAAAAGAAATGAATATAATATTTGGCAATAAATATAGTTGGAATATTTATAAATAAGAAATTTTCTGATTACTTTTTATTATTACATGAAGCTTGCATTATTTGTACAGTTTGATTATACAGATATTGATGGATAGAAACTCATAAAGTCCATCATTACCAGTCAGTGTAAATGGAGCAAATAAATACAGTGAAGTGAGTCTAGAAAAGAAAAACATGCATCTGTTGCATTATTGACTTTAACAAACTTTGTGAAGTAGTTTTCCTGAGGTGGACCACTCAAATGAAAGTCAGATACGCAAACTTGAAAAAAAAAATCTGTGATGAGGGTTTGATATTTTGCCCTGGGACATTATGTATTTAGAAAATTTAGTTCAGATATCTGATGTACCGTTAGTTCCTGAGAAAAATCAAAAACACTATTTTTAAAACTCAAATATCGGGAATGAAATGACAGCGGCATGTTTATTTAACAACATTTAACCCTTTATATCTTGCCTTTGTACAAAATTCAACCCAAATCTGTACAATCATCCCTGTAAAATGAGCAGAACATTCGTAAAAAACAAAATGACCACCAGCCCGCCATTTTGAATCGAATCAGGAAAAAACAATGACGTGCATCAGTAACCCACTATGGTTGATGTCAATGCAAAGTTTGAGCGAAATCGGTCAAAGCATGTCAAAGAAATGATTGATGACATGTTGAATTTTGTGATTTTATTCGTTTTTGACAATAATGGTCGCCATTTGGCTAAATTTTGATGAAAACGAATAAATAACAGAAAACAACATTTAATTCATTATATCTCGCGTTTGTACAAAATTTAACCCAAATCTGAAAAAAAAAAAAATGGCCACCAGTCCGCCATTTTGAATTGAATCACATAAAAAAAATGATGTGCATCAGTAACCCACCATGATTGATGTCAATGCCAAGTTTGAATGAAATCGGTCAAGCGAG